TATGTGTTGCCCTCCTACAGTTACTGCTATGAGTGAAGCTGGAATTCAAACAGTCGAGCATATCGATCTCTGCTTACTTTTACAATTTGTCTTGTCGTGTTAACGGGAACTGTAGGAACAGTGGTCATAAACTACTCTTTGTTGCTCCATTATAAGAAATGGTCTACCGTGCGGAGTTCGCAAGCCTTGAGGCGTTTCCCAAGCAAGTTAGAACCATGATGTTCACATGCCACAAAGGGGACTCAGATACTTTCAAAGGGTTACAGCTTCAAGTCATCTTGGGTAGGTGCGTCGTCCTTTCGCAACGGGGTTGATGCTTACATGGTTCTAAAAAGCCTGGACCTACTCTTTGATTAACAACTTTTGCACGTTTCCTCCAAATTCTTGTATTATGTTATCATACTTATGGTATACTTCTTTGTTTTGTTTTTTTTAAAAGAAAAAATTGGTTGTAGTCTTGTATCGGGGATCCTACGCGGTCATACTCCCGTAACCATGTCTAGTTATATCCATCCAATAGTCTGTATGCTCAGTAGTGACAATTTGAGCTTCAACATTCAAATTCACGTCCTTTTGTACAACTTGGTGGATGAAATACTAATAGAAATATAACTTTGAAAACAACTGATGTATGAGTACAACAATATGGCCTTGATGTTGGTCTCTTCAATATATGTATTATGAACAGATAGTATGTATGATTTGAAACTAACGTAATATACATAAATGGTGAGGATCCTATATTTCGACACGAAGTTGAATGAGAGGAGACTTGAACTTAATTATTGCATAATGATTTGATCAAAACTTAATGTATGACTTGAGCTTGAATCCAATTAGGTCTTATGGGCATCAATTGAACCTTGGGATCAAAATGATTCATAAATTCTAAAAACAAAAACAAAAATTCCAAAGAAAAACTTAACACGACAACTGAACTTTCGGGTGGCAATGCTTGGACAACGGTTGTATCATGATCAAGTTGGTAAATAAATGTTGCTAATATTGAAACAAAAAAACCTTAACAAATGGCCAATCATTCACAAAGAATAATAGCCTAACATAATGTCTCATCGTGAACAGTCCCCTGAAATTGGGAAGTCGGATACCATCTCTATATGAAGCCCAAACTCCTGCACAAACCCGTTAGTAGTAAAGCACAAAGGATATGCGAGATGATGCACAAAGGGGGATCTTAGGGTCGAAAATTATGACGTGACACTCTGAAAGATAAACCAGTTATTTTGAACAGAAGGTTCATCTACTCCAACAAAAAGGCTAACCAGGTAAGTATTCTTTCGTTCTGATTATCTTTTTTGAGTTGCTCATCTCAAGGGGAGTTTTGTGCTTCTTTTGATATATCTTTTGGTGATTATCCGAAAAAAATTGTTCATCAAAATACAGTGTTTTGTCATCATCAAAAAGAGGGATATTGTTAGAACAAGATTTGGTTATGCATCTATATCTCTAAGTTTTGATGATAACAAGTCCGTATTTGTGTAAGAACAATTTTGACATCCTAACGGTTTGTTATTGTGTATCTTTAGAAAAAAATTTGATTCTGACTCTTGAACGTGAAACATTACAGGTTTCTGAATATATTGATCTAAATCGCTTCTGCTCAAACTCACGTATGAGAAGCTTTTAAGGAAACTGTATGTTACTGCTCCAACATTCTCTTGGCTCTTGCCTCTGACGCGTGACTCTGATCAATTCACTTTTGAAGATTGCTCAAGCTTCCGAAGATTAAATGCTGGAGGTTCTAAAAACCCTGAAGAATCTCAAGTCAGATATTGATGTGATCAAGCTTCTGGTTGATGATTGAAATTTCTGAACTTAAGCTTCTGAAGATTAAACACTGAAGGTTCTAAAAACTATGAAGAATTTCAAGTCAGATATTGATCTAATCAAGCTTCTGATTTATGATTGAAGTTTCTGAACTCAAGCTTTTGAAGATTAAATGCTGAAGGTTGTAAAAACTCTGAAGAATCTCAACTCATATATTGATGTGATCAAGCTTCTGATTGATTATTGAAGTTTCTAAACTCAAGCAAAATCAACTCTTCTAACTCATGCTTCAAAAAATGATTTATCCAGAAGCCACTGAAGAAAAGCAGATAAGAACCAGTTTATACGTGGGAAAAATAGTACATGATACAAACCAATATTCCTTCCACTAAGCAGATTTCCTAGAGTAAGGAAATTGAGGTAGTACGATTCTTGTCCCCTCTATTTCAAACCGTTACTCAAGTCGTCTACTCATTCATAAAAAGTATCAGATCTACCCTTCAATGGATCTTTTTTACTGGATATATAAAGACTTGAAGACTTGAAGAAAAATAGAAGCATGCAAGTAATTTACAAGAATGTTGTCTAAATTTATGCAAAATTTTCTTTAAGTGTATTATGCTTTTAACTTGTTTATACCTGCTTGTGTAGAAGCAATCTTTGTAAACACAACTTTGTAATCAAATTTTTGTTTGTATTTCCTTAAAGGACCAGTTAGGTCATAATTCTTGAGAAGACATAGGTTGTGTGTCTTTGTGGTTTGTTAGTCACCAACGGTTGCTAGTGCAGTTTTACTCAAACAGTTGTTTGTATTTCCATAAGAGACCAGTTAAGTCAGAATCCTTGAGAAGACATGGATTGTGTGTCTTTGTGGTTTGTTAGTCACCAGAGGTTGCTAGTGCAGTTGTAATCAGTTGATTATAGTGGATTAAGTTCTTGGGTATAAGGCGAAATCACCTTGGCGGGTGGACTGGATTAACTTTGAGATTTTCAAGTGAACCAGTATAAAATTCGGAGTGTATTTCTCTTTGTTGTTCATTAGCGTTGATTTTTATTGAGTGAGTAAAAAGCTTTTATTTTTGAAAAACCCAATTCAACCCCCCCCCCCAATTTCTTGTGTTTTTCTCACCTTCACCTTATCTTTAAGAAGTAGGTTTCAGTTCAAAATCGGATTCTAAACAATTGCATCAGGACAGAGATTTGAGACTAGAGAAGTGTTAGATAGATCTACAAAGACATGCCAAGTAGGAAGATAGTGTTTCCAAATAAAAGTTCCTGGAATTTCTCCAATCTCCCCACAATTGATCACATTAGCAATTGATTTAGAGGTTACTGTTATAGAAATACCAGTTAGTTTAGAAAGAATGACACACTCAGAATTCAACAATGGAAGCATTGATTCAAAACTCTTTGACAAGACATGGATAAGTGAAACCACAGAGCATCTCAAAGTATCCATTCCAACTTTGTTCAGACACAATCTTCTAGAAGTTAAAACCTAGCTTAAGCAAGGAACACTTTCTTCAGACACAATCTTCCTTAAATATGTCATTTTGCTCGGTTGGAAGTACCTATCAAGGAACACTTTCTTCAGTTCATTCCATGTCATGGTGGAATTTGACGATAGGTATTATAGCCACGCTATGGCTCTGTCCCTTAGGGAGAATGAAAATAAACACAATCTAATGGCCTCGGGATCAACACCATTGCTTTTGAGTGTATCAGAGAACTATACAAAGACGAAGATGTGTAAGTTTTGATCCTTCGTTGGGTTACTGAAAAATTGGTTATGCTACACTATTTGCAGCAGAGAGGGTTTAACCCAAAATTGTTGGCCTAAATCGCATGCTTAATTATACTTGAGTGTGGTTCTTCCTCATAGGAGGTAAAAAAATCCTTAAGTGGATGGTTGTCATTTTCCTCTATTTCTCGTCAGATTTGTTGTACTCAATGTCTAAAACGTAGGTAACATTCGATTTTGTTGATCAGTTGAGCAAGGTTATTGGTACTTTAGGTTCTTCGCATACAACTACAGTGGCAAAAATTAACAAAAATGCCTTAGTCTATATACGACATAACAACGGAATCGTGATATTGCAAAATTTGATTTCTGACAACGACACTAAAATTTTGATAAGGCCGCAAGTGCACGACTTTATCAGTCTTAGTATAAAAATTTTTATGAGACCAATCGACAAGTATCGTTGTCTATTATTACTATGCTTATCTAAAACTACATGTATGGTTATCACAAAATGTATGTTTAAATTAAATTTTAATAAATAAAAAATATATGATTTTCATCTACCTTTGTTATTCTTTAGCACTTTATTATTTTTCTAAAAAAAATAAAAAAAAATAAAGTTAGAGGCTCGTCTGTTTCTGCGTGTCCGTTATTTGCCTGATACAAAATGTTGAATTTTGAACTAAAAATAAAAACTTGAATAAAAAAAATGGATCAAATGTAGAATTTCAATCTATTACCATGAACATCAAGTGATAATAATGCATAAATTGAAAATAAAACAGAAAAAAAAAATGTAAAGGACAAAAAAAAAATATAACTCTAAAAATACTGAAAATTAAAATTGCACAAACACTTCAATGTAAAATATTTTTACATAAGTGAATATAGTGCTAATACAAATGATAAAAAATTATGCACTAAGGTCTTATTTATAGACTAATTTTCATTTAAAAACTAAATCGTGTCAAAATGGTGGAGAAAATTAGAATGAAAAAATTGAATTGTTAATTTTTCTAAACTTGAAATAAGTGAATATAGTGCTAATACAAATATAAAAAATTATGCACTAAGGTCTTATTTAGAGACTAATTTTCGTTCAAAAACTAGTTAAATCATGTCAAAGTGGTGGAGAAAATGTTGAGAATGAAAAAACTGAATTGTTGATTTTTTTAAACTTTAATGTTATGATCCATGACAGACATCATAATTGGTTGAATTCGTCATGTGAGTCTGTACTTAGAACTTTTAGCCATTTTTACTTTTTTTCACTCTTTTTACTCACTAAAATAAACGGTAAAATTGAGTGGTAAAAAAGTGAGTGTTATCACCTACTAAATAAGAATTATACTAGAAAGAAACACTATGAAATTAAATTGCAATTGCAAACGATCCTAAGTACATATGATAAACACCTAAGAGAAAAAAAAAAGGAAAAGTGGTGCAATGAAACAGAGAGACATGTATGCTATATGTGGTTATTCCTTAGAATGTTTTTTCCTCCTAGTGGATAAGTTGGAGCGGTGGTTCCAGGTTTGGGAATTGACCCAAATGGCTGGTTTCCTTCGAAGTACTCCACATGTGGCTGCTGAGTACCATAATAATGTGCTTGTTTGGTGCTTAGCTTCTCTGCAGCATGCTTGCCTTTAGCTTCATGTAGCTCCATCTTTGCTTTAGCTTCCTTAGCTTTGGAACGTTCATGTGCTATCACTTCCTCCTCCTTTGTTCTTGCCCTTGCTTTCTCTGCCTGTATTATTATTATTATTATTATAATCATAAATAAATAAGTATCATATTCTAATATTTTAAAAATTAATGGATTTGATATATATATAAAAAAGAGACCTTCTCGTCAATTTTGGCTTTATAGATGTTGGCTTGCTCCTTGGCAGCACTAGCCTTGTTTTTCAGTTTCTCCATTGTAGACTGCATAATAAGTTGGAAGTGTTGAACGAACATAGAAGCTTGTAGTATTATGTGATGGACTATTTATATGCATTCTTGTCCATGAAATATTGGATAAAAACGAAATTAGATAACACAGTTAAATCCTAAATGTTCTACATAGAAGGCAATGCAATCTTGGCACCACTTGTTAGACATGCAGAGCTGTTCCATCCACTGTCTGCCACGAATGTTCACTATCATAATCAATCTCTTTTTTTTATTAATAAGATTAGTTCTTGTATTTTAATTTTAATTTTGTTATTATTGTTGAATTTACTATTTTTATTTGAATTATTGGTATTGTTATTTAATTTAGTGTTGTATATTTTCTTTGTGTATGTTATTTGATTTAAGTGATTTTGTTAAATGTATAAGATACATTATTTTGTTTTATAATTTTTGATATGAGATAGTAATTATATAATAATAATTAATCTCATATTTAGATAGGCTGGAAATTTATAGAGTGGTGGAAGACAGAAGATTTTCATAAGATTTGAACATGCAAAAAAGATGAGGGCATCTGAAGCAGGTGGCTGCCTTAGTACAGTTTGAAGTATCAGTATCAGTGAACATCGTCGACAAATGATAATTATAACTATTTTTTTTTAAAGTTATATTTTATATTATTATATATTCAATTAAACTTAATTATTTTAATTAAAAAAGGATTTGGAGAGGGAGCCACGGATTAATGAACTATTTGTGAAGACTTGAAACAAAAAATCCGAGGAGTTTGTTGACGGTCATTCCAAATCAACCTTGATAACTTGTTTATAGTTGAATTATTTTATTTCATTATTATTGTATATAATTAAATTGTTTAAACTATATTTATTTTAATTTAATTTTTTTTATGTGTGTGTAGGAGTTGTACCAGACCTTACTTGTCCAATTTCTAACTGAAAATTCTCAGTATATGCCGATTGGGAATGCACCGCTTGATCCACGCGTGGATCTTTATATTTGGAATTTAACAGTAGGCGAGAAGGGAGTCAATGAGTGTTTTTTTGGTCTTGGGTCTTTGGCTGACAATTATAGAAAAGGGGACCGAACTTTATTTCAAAGACTCGAAGATGGGGAAGGAGGATCTCGTCCGGCAGAACTGACACCATAAATATTGGCAACAGTGAGAGAGTTAGCTCTATCTGAGGCGAGACGAGACGCGGAGGCACGTGAGGCGGCGCTAAAGGCCGAAATGGAGGAAATGAGAAATAAACAAAATGGTAAAATGGAGGAAATGAGGAAGCGACAATCCGACATTGAGGCACAAATGCGACAATTTTTTGCCTCACAATCAAATTATTGTGTCCAAGATGATGAAAAAGATGAAGCTATATTTAGTAGTGACGATGAATAACTTTTGTATTATTATTATTTATGTTTATGACGTGAATATTACGTGATAATTTTTTTTAATTTTTTGTTTGTGACGTGAATATAATGTGGCTAAATATTTATATCTTTTAATAATTATATTTATTAAAAAAATTAAAAATTTTAATTGAAAATCATTTAAATTTTTATATTTTAGTATTTATTAATTCGTCGTATTCATTAATATTTTAAAAATTTCATTATTAAATTAAATAGTGAAGTGAAAATAAAGTCACTAAATTTAAAACAGCTTTTAATTTGTGGCGTGAAAACCATGTCACTAATTAGTGACGTGGGAATCACGTGAAAACCTTTTCATACTGACATATTGTGCACGTTGCAGGGAGTTTGGAAAATGTGATTTGCGACGTAAAATTTACGTCACTAATTAGTGACGTGCATTTCACGTGGGAATTTTTTCAATTAATTTGGTTGTTTGTGGCGTGAATTCCATGTCACAAATTAGTGACGTGAATTTCACGTGGGAAAACGTTCCCACAATTGCTTTTTTGACGTGCTATGCCCACGTCGCAAATCTTGGTTAGTGACATGATTTTTAACTTAGTGACGTGAATACCATGTGGGAAATTGCAATATTTCTTGTAGTGTATAGACATGGATTCCTTAAGTGTTGTAAATCTTATTGTGAATTACGACAAAATTCAATATCAATTTGTGAGGTAAAGAACAATAGCAACCAAAAAAATGGTTTTCAGCAATAATAATCCGTACACAAATAATATAATAGAATAAGGCAAGAAAAAATCAAAGGTTTGTTTACCCAGTTCGATCAAACGATCTACTCTAAGGGAGAGAGCAGCTCTCTAATTCACTATACTCAGAAAGTTATTACAAGAGATTACAAATGAGTTACAAGAAAATAACCTTCGCCTTCAGGTTCCCAAGAACAACCCTGAAGGCGCCCAATAACAACCATATTTTCTATCCAAGTGTTTCCCTACCTCTCAAACTCTCGATATATGAATCACTCAGCAAATACCCAACAAACAAAGCCCAAAATCACATGGATCCATGGACCGAATCGAAAAATCCTGAAAACTTAAAAACACTATTCATCATACGGACACACTATTCATTCGTACAGACGTTACTATTCATCCGTACAGATATCACTATTCACCAACCAAAATTTTTTTCTTCAAATTTTCGTCTGATTTTCGCGGTAAATGCAATCTCCAAAATATGTTTTCTTTCTCTTCATCAACAAAGGTTTTAAGGCACATTTACAACAATCTCCACCTTGACTTTAAACCGTGTTGATACCAATCTAACAATCAACAACATTACTGCTCTCTACCAAGTTGAAATTTTAATAAGTAACTTTGATCAAATTCAAGCAACCCTTGAATCTTGATCTCGTAACTTGCATCCACTTATTCCCAATTACCCTTTTTTGCCTAGGTAATTTAACAAGCCTACAAGTATGATTTTTCAACCACCCTTGACTCCACCTGTTTTCAAATGCCTCCCTGAAGGTTTTTCTTCTTTTATTTTGCAGTTCTTCAGCCACATTAAAAACATAATATTCAAGGCTAGGATAACCGTCCCTTTGAGATGCTACAATAACACTCTTTATCTTATCATGAGTCAAATGATAATCATATATCTCTGTAACCGTTCCCTCACTACTGCTAGCATCTGTAGTTGGAAACTCCACCTCAAACTGAGTTTTCTCCGTTATAGTTTCTCCCAGGTTTCTCCCTTGGTTTTCATAATTCTTCTTCTGAAGAAATTCTCTACCAACCAAGTAAGTTGTTCTAACCTCATCTCTTCTTAAAAAACTCAATAATAACTTAGCGGTAACATGCATTTTTATCCCTTGATTTCTGCAAAATTCATTGTACTCCTCTAAAACTTTCTCAAGGCATTCATAACGCCTTAAACTCAAATCCCATAACTCTTCCTTGTCATGAAAGTCTCCACTAGTTAACGATGAATGATTAATAACATTTAAACATTCTAAAATATATATACCACATATTTTAGACCCTTTAGCAATAATCAATTCACCACGCGAAATCTCTAACACTCCACGTTCAACTCTAGTAGAATAGCCTAGATCATTAAACATACTTATAGATAACAAACTTCGCTCGAGTTCTGGAACATACATCACATTGTGAATAAGAAGTTCACGATTATTAAACATTTTAAATCTGACCGTACCAATACCATGAACCTTGCATGCCTTATTATTTCCAAGGAGAACTAATCCACCTTGTCCATCTTCAAAGTTTCAAAGTATTCTATTCTTGGACAGATGTGATAAGAGCAACATGAGTCAATGAGCCGACTATCTTTAATTTCCAAACTCGATACTACTACTGCTTCGACATCCTCATAACTTTCCTCATCCAATGCGACTACATCTTGAACAGAATATTCATTGACCTTTATTTTAGGATAATCCTTTTTAAAGTGACAGATTTTTTGACAATTAAAGCATTTTACCTTTGACTTATCAGACCTCTTTGATTTGGACATTCCTTTACGCTCATCTCCTCCTCTTGACACATTTAAGCCTTCACCACTATCTTCAATCTTCAAATCTTTCGACTTTGGAAATTCTTTGGATTTCACCGCCATCTGGACTTCATCCAAAGTAATAATACCTTCCTTACCATAAAGAAGAACATCCTTAAAGTGCTCAAAGGATCTGGGTAATGAACTCAACAGGAGCAAAGCCTTGTCCTCATCATCAATCTTAACTTCAATATTCTCAAGATCATCGATAATCTTATGAAATTCTAGAGCTGCTCAACTATGGATTTGTTCTCCACCATCCGGAATGAATAGATTTGGTTGTTTCAGATACAACCTGTGAGCCAAAGACTTTTTCATATATAATGATTCAAGTTTTTCCTACATAGCAACCGCAGTTTGCTCCCTGGTGACTTCTCTTAGAACTTTATCCCCGAGGCACGAGATAATAGCACGCATGGTCTTATCCACCATTTCGGTCTTCTATACCTGTGTAAGCCCTGCAGGCATCGATACATTTCTCTTGAATTAAAATTGCTTGCATCTTAATTTTCCACAACCCGAAGTCGTTGTTACCGGAAAATTTCTCGATCTGCCATCCACTAACCATGGTGCTCACTTATCAATAATATCTCTTTGCTACACGCTCACTGCACCACTTAATGTGAATCTTGTTATGAGTTACGATAAAATTCAATATCAATTTGGGAGGCAAAGAACAATAGCAACCAAAATAAATGGTCTTCAGCAATAATAATCCGTACATAGATAATATAACAAAATAAGGCAAGAAAAAACCGAAGGTTTGTTTACCCAGTTCGATCAAACGATCTACTATGGGGGAGAGAACAACTCTCTAATTCACTATACTCAGAAAGTTGTTACAAGAGATTACAGATGAGTTACAAGAAAATAGCCTTCACCTTTAGGTTCCCAAGAACAACCCTAAAGGCGCCCAAGAACAACCTTATTTTCTACCCAAGTGTTTCCCTACCTCTCCAAATCTCGATATATGAATCACTCAAACCCAAGGTGTAATATAAGGTTTTATTCGTACATAGCTGAAACTCTATGCTATACCTTTAAACCTTTGGTCTCCCTTGTTG